AGGGGAAATAGGAAATAGCACTATTTGTAATTTTATGGAATCGTCATCTTCATGACATAATCACATATTGAATTTTCATACACACACCGGCAACAGACCAACTGTGAAATATAACATAACCCAGATGGGACATAAATCAATGATTAAAAAATGCTAAATAAACTCAGCAATCACTTCCGGTAAGTTCCCTAATTTATAAACAGATATTATTAAAATTCTATGTTAAATGAAACTACTTTTTTTATCCCAGCTATTTTGGTATAAAAACTCAACATTTCACAGATGCTCCTCCTCTCTACCCTCCCCATCCTTGGGCTCAGGGTTAATAATAATAATAATAATAATAATAATAATAATCAATATAGCGCCTACATATTACACAGCACTTTACAATTATAAAATGGGGGATATTTGACGGTAAGTAATTTACATTCGGAATTTAACAGACAAGAGGTGAAGACCCTGTTTAAACGAGATTATAATCTATTAAGGGCCAAATGTATCCAGTCTGTAACCCTTTTTTTTTCCCTTCAGATTTTTCTTTTCTATATATTTCTAGAAAATAGACACTGTCTGTATACCAAGGCGTGCGCACGGGGTGTGCCGGGTGTGCCTGGGCACACTCTAATCACACCTCCATGCTGCACTGCCTTAGGGCAGACTAACATGCCCGACACAGGAGGGGGCCCGGCGGCTTGCCCTGATGGAGATACAGGCTCAGTCTGCAGCTCCGCCGGGATTGAGCTGCAGACTGAAGTGTCTCGCGATCTCCAGCCTGTCAGAGCGTTGCCGCGGGTTACCACGGCAACGCTCTGACTGACTTGAGATCGCGAGACTCACCATGTGGTCTGCAGCTCACTCCTGGCGGGGCTGCAGACTGAAGAGAGAGGGCGCCCACTGGACCACCAGGGAAGGTATTTAAACCCTCTGCCCCCTGTCACTCACTGCCCCTCCCCCCCCTATCAATGCCCCTCCACCCCCCTAACCCCTGTCACTGCCCCTCCACCCCTACCCCCTGTCACTGTCACTGCCCCTCCACCTCCTCTTGCCTCTCAATGCTTCACCCCACACCCTGTCACTGCCCCTCCACCTCCCCTTACACTCTCTTGCTTTTCAGCACAATGCTCATCCCTCCACTTTACCAACCCCCCTGTCCTGTCCCTCCACCCCCTAACCCCTGTCACTGTCCCTCCACCCCCTAACCCCTGTCACTGCCCCTCCACCCCTTACCCTCCTCCTGCTTCTTCACCCCACACACCCTGTCACTGCCCTCCACCTCCACTTGCCTCGTCACTGCCCCTCCACCCCTACCCCCTGTCACTGCCCCTCCACCCCATAACCCCTGTCACTGTCCCTCCACCCCACTAACCCCTGTCACTGTCCCTCCACCCACTAGCCCTTGTCACTGTCTCACCCCACTAACCCCTGTCACTGTTACTCCCCACCCCCTAACCCCTGTCACTGTCCCTCACCCCCTAACCTGTGCTGCCCCTCCACCCCCTTATCCTCTCACTGCTTCTTCACCCCACACCCTGTGGCTGCCTCACTGGCCCCTGCAGCTGCCCTCCTACCCCAGCCTGCCGCTGCCCCTCCTACCCCCAACCCCTGCGCTGCCCCTCCACCCCCAACCCCTGCCCCTCCACCCCCAACCCCTTGTTGCTGCCCCTCCACCCCCAACCCCCTGTCACTGCCCCTAAACCCTGTCCCTCTATCCCCAACCCCTGTCACTGCCCCTCTACCCCCCAGCCCCTGCCCCTCTCAGCCCCTGCCCCTCTACCCCTCAACCCCTGCCCCTGCCCTCTACCCCTCAGCCCCACGCCCCTCACCCCAACCCCTGCCCCTCCCACCCACCACCCCTACCCCTGTTGCTGCCCCTCCACCCCCAACCCCTGTCGCCCACACAGTGCACTTCTCACAATCCTACACACTGTACCCCACACACACTGCATCCCTCACAATCACACACACACTGTACTCCTCACAATCACATGCACTGTACCCCTCACAATCACACCACACTGTACCTTTCACAATTACACAAACACACTGTATCCCTCGCAATCACACACACTGCACCGCTCACAATCACACTGCACATACATACATATATATATATATATATGTATATGTATGTACGCGGCGTGTGTGTTTGTGGTTTAGGGTGCACACCCTAATGCAACAGGCTGTGCACGCCTATGTCTGTATATGATATATAAGTATAATGCTTCTCATTGTTATCTGTATTTGCGTCTTGTATTTTTGTGCTCAATAGAGAATATTAAAAAAAAAAAAAAAAAGAAAGAAAATAGCTCAGTTCTCCAGCATTCTCTGTTAGTAAATCTCTGTACACCCTGGTATGTTCTGTTGTAGAAGTGCTAGTTGTTTGACTACCCTGAACCCCAGTGGAATGTCCTAGTGATGTTGTGTTCACTCATGTGTTTCTGTTTCAGTGTGACGCTGGTGAACAGTGCGCTGTCAGGAAAGGGGCAAGGATTGGCCGGCTATGTGACTGCCCGCGACGGACATCATGCAACACGTTTCTGTTAAAATGTTTATAGGCAGAATAATAATATGGACCAATACACAATGCTGTTTGATTTCCATGGGAGAGCAGGAATGACGAGGGCTCGTGTGTGATTTGTTATCTTTTATTTTCTGTTTATAGATTTTCTATTCTGTATTCCAGGGATGGGCAACTGTTGCTGGACTACATAATCACTCCCAGCCATTAATTGAAGGCTGAGGATGAAGACAGTTGAAGTCCAATAACAGCTGAATTGATGCAAACGGTCCACCCATACAGTCACTTTCATCCTGCCAGCAATGGTTGGACTAGAACTACAGAGTTGTAGGAGTTGTAATCTACCATCATCTGAATTAAAGCACATTGTCTGTCCTTGCGTCTTTTTGGTTTATTATATGTTTTGTTATTTTTATGTAATATATTTACGTGCTGTATGTTTTTTTACATTTAAACAATAACAAAGCATGTTAAGGTCCATGTAATAAAATTTTTTTATTTTAATGAATATTTTTTATTCTGTTATTCATTTTCTGAGCACTTTCTAGTCCATTTTGTGAGACGAGTGGTTATTCCTTGGGAGTAATAATAAATAGAATCCTCTGACTGTGTTGGTTATTTGGGAGTCTACCTGTTGGGATTGAGCCCCTGCTTCTGCTGGTTGGAATAACATTACCACTAACACCTGCCTAATGACAAACTTAGCTTGTCCTGGGAAACTGATACAATTTCCATGGGTTTAATAGCTTCCCTATAGAATAAAGCAGTATTAACCTCTTATGTTAGTACAACATTCTGATGTTAATTTAAAAGACGGTCTCAGGTCTGCACTCGGGTAGAGGCAGGAGGAGACAAATCCTACTGAAACCAACAGATCTACCATTCCCTCACAAATACAAGGTTGCTAAAGCGAATATTGATGCTAGGCAGGCATGAGTTCCCTAGGGATCAGATTATAATGGCAGCAACATTCTAACTGATCATTAAAGGGTTAAAACATAATAAAATGCTCTGGATTCAGCTCTGATGATGTGAAATGTCAAGCCTGTAAAGATTTGCCTTGTTTAAGACACCCATCAAAATTAAGCTTGAAAGGGAATGTCTGAATTTTGAACAAAAGCAATTATTTTTCAAATCAGGGCTTTCTAATAAATTAAAACAAAATGCATACTTTTAACCCAAAGAGCCAATTAGGGAAAATACCTGAGCTGTGTTTAACAGAACACTATAGTATATTTACACTATGCGTATAATATTCAAAAACTTGAAATAATAAAAAAGCTACTTACATATAAATTCACTACAGATGCACAAATTAGTAGATCTGCCTGCACCTACAGGCAGACACCTGTCCCTGCTTTGCTGTAAACAGAGCTCCTGCATCTCCTTCTGGAGAAGACAGCCTGTATCTGTGTCATTGTGTGTATCTGTGTCATTGCAGAGACACAGGCACATAGATACACATTATAACACACATACAGATATACACATAATAAGACACATGCAGATAAACAGACACACAGACACCTACAATGACACTCACGACAGATACAAACACTGACACAAATACAGATGCATCACACACAGGGGCACACACATGCAGATATACAGACACACATACATATACTCCGACACACAGAAGGACACTAATACTTATACAAACACTGATACACATAGGATTACACAGACACATACAGATAGACAGGGGCACACATTGACACACAAACAAATACACAGACAAGAGATACAGATACAGACACACAGGTACACATACTGATACACACGCGCAACAGCTGATCGGCGGACCGCCATGGTAAGTACAGGGGATCTGACAGTATGTGTGTCTGTCAGTGAGTGTGTGTCTGTCAGTATTTGTCGGTCAGTGCCTGTCAGTGTGTGTGTGTGTGTCTGTCAATAAGTGAGATTGTGTGTCTATCACTGAGAGTCTGAGTGTGTCAGTGAGTGAGAATGTGTGACTGTCAGTGGGTGTGTCTGATTACAAAAAGGGGTGGGACATATAGATGGAGAGGTGGATTTGTTGCAATAGAAACATGCATGTCTGGACTGGACATTTGCCAAGTCCAGACATGCATGTTTCTATGGCAACAGTTAGCGAGATGACCACACCCACTTGGAGTGCCAAAACAAATTCTGCAACCAGGCGTCCCGAACCCTAGGATCAACCCTGTTGGAAGCCAGAGACATTAAAGCAGGTTAACTAAGCCTCCCATATACTATTACACAGCCAAGCAGTAGCAGGACAAATGAACAAAGGGCCCTGTATGCAAGATTTTTTCTGTCTTATTACCACTCCAGACAATTAACCTCCAATTTCTTAAAAATGTACCCACTGTATAGTCAACTCTGCTGTCACAAGACCTTAATCCAAATGCAAGATCTCCCTCCCCAATTTAGACTCCCCTATTTCCATGACAATTAACTCTCTCACTGCCTAAAGTAGATTTTGCGTCATTTGCAGTTTGAGTCAGACACACTCCATGCAGTACGCAGACCATCCATGAAGTTTAAAGAGACACTATGCCACCAGAGCATGCTGACGCAGTTACTTCTTCCATCTTCTGGAGGTAGGGTAGCCTGCATTCTGGAGTGAGAAGAGCGAGGCTAGATGGTGGCAGTAACTGACTTAGAATCCATTGCTTCCTGATGCTCATGGGACCTTGCATGATAGTAAAAAATAAAAAAGCGATGATCTCAAGCGATGCAATGCTTTCCCATAGGAAAGCATTGAGAGGCTATTGCACATGCACGGCAAAAATCAGATCTGAGAGTGGAGATCAGCTGCTCTCCCTCAACTTAGTGAACAACCCCGTCTTCTCTTTGCTGCCGGCTATATCCAACCCTTGGACCTAAGGTGGTTTATACGTTGACTTGCATTCTACAGAGAACGTGAAGGACAACACCAGTAGAATACTGAAAACAAGAAGGGGAGGGTCGCTTTGACGGATCCATATGCCCTTAATTCTTGAGCTAGGTGTATAGCTCTGAAATTTATGAGTGTTTCCTTGTCACACTGTAACACCACTTTATACTGTATGTTTTTACACTATTGTATATATTTATCCTCTTAAAGTTATAAGACCTCGATTAAAAGATCACATACCATCAGGTATATAAGATACTTTGCAGATATTACTTTAGTACCTCATATATTTGTTTCACATTAGGGCTACACCAAATGGTTCAATTCAGAGTAAAAATGAAGCTGTAATGCCTTTTCATCAGTCAAGAAAGTTACCTCTTAAATAATGACTCAATTATTACAACTATAAAACAGTCCTAGGTTTGATTATAATAATGTAATAATACAATATGTGGGGTCCACTTGGAAACTAGTGACTGCTAAATGCACCATTTTGGTTAAATAGCATTAATATTTTATCTTTTTTTTTTTTTTTGACATTCTTTATTTAAGTTTTTCAATATTCAATCACAGCATGTATATCCAATATAAATTAACATGTGGTAACAGATAAACGGGTCAGTTATGTGTATTACAGCATCAAGATGGTTTCAACTACTGGATAATAAATTGTGTTTGAGTATTTGGCTTCAGTATAACAGTGAGCGTTCTTTTGTGTTGTGTTCTGTCGTTAGCCCTGTATGGGGTTAGTCCCCTCTGTGGTCGGGTGCGAATGGAGTTTGTGGTTGCTCCTCAAGATTCGTGCGTGTTTTCGGGTGGGTTGTTTCAACCGCTCTGTGTTGTGCTCGTGGGTCAGAGGGGGAGTTGTGCATCCCTGCATTGGTCTCTGAGCTTCCTCATTTGTAGGTAGGACCCTAATAGAGAGGTTGGCTCAGTGCAAGGTTTCCCCTCATTTACTTATTGGGTCTAGTGTGACCTATGGTACTTAAGAGTTGTGGTAGTCTCCGTCTATGTGCGGTGCGGTTCATCTTTGTCCCCAGCCTCGTACGTGGTGATTTGTTCGTGTTTCTAGTGCCAGGTTGATGGGTATAGAGCTTTGTCCCAATCCGTGTTATGTCTGTCTACGTGTGTCCTTCTTTGGGGGGGTACCGTCTGGGGCTTTGTATGGGGGTTCCAGTCTGGTTCGTGTTTGATTTGTGTGTTGGTTTAGGTCGTAATGAGCCTGGTGTGGATGGGCTCAGTCTTAAATCATGAGGGGGCCAATTATTTTGCCCCTGTGACCGTGTGGTTACCCCCTAGTTTCCCTGAGTCGATCTGTTTTAGGTTTTCCCTGGGGGTAGTTGACCTGGGTTGTCCGTAGGCGCAGCTAGTATAAGTAGGGTTGTCCTGTGATGTCTTATTCTGTCGTTGTGCGGTGTGTGGGGTCTGTGTCAGATGCCGTGTCGTCTCCTCAGGCCCCTGGTTTGAGTCGCTCGTGTGGTGGGTGTGATCATATCAGCCCTGGGGCATGTAGCACGGTCCCCGTGACTCTTCTGGATACCTAAGTCTAGGTTGTTATCTCTTATCTTGGGTCTCGCTGGGTTCGGTGTGTGTGGGGTTATGTATGCCACCTGCGGCAGCCCCGGTTGTTAGTTGGCGTGGTCTGGGCCGGGTGCTACTGGCTCAGGTCGTGGCTTAATATTTTATCTTTATTCATAAATTACTTGGGGATATTAGGAACATTTTACTCTCAGCGGTAACTGCGTCTGAACACCAGTCATTTGCTGGACGTGTAATGAGAGATAAATCATTGAAACAGGGATAATAATTACAATACTGAGCTGCGTGATGACAAGGGAAGCCAGAGGTCCAGCGCATTTTATATAACTCATCATTAGTTTATGCTGAAAACCTCACTTCCAGTATCAGCAGCCTAATTTACATTTACTGTGCCTCAGGCCAGAGAGACAGCATAACCATTAATGGCATTAAAATCAGTAAATATAATTAGCATCCTAGCTCTGGATTCTAAATTTTATTTTATATTGTCACTTGCAAAGTTAAATTACAATACATTGCCTCTTCTGCCTAAATGTTATTGCTCCTGATTTATTAAATATAGTGACAAATTTCAGTTGAGAGTCATAATGTAACCTTGCAATGGCTAACTTGTCACCCCAGTCTTAAAGGGGAACCAGCCCTTTTTTTGGATTTGACATTGTTGAATCAAATACTGAAAATAATCTATAACGTGTGTTAACATTATTTTTTTCCATGTGCAGCTTTATTTTCTTTTAAATGCATATTATAGATAAAACCCATTAACATTACAATCCAGTCCAGTGCAGGCACAGCCAGGGCACATATTGCTTTGGAGACATAGTGACAGTTTCTGGTTTTTGTCCTCTCTCGATGCTCTTTTAATGCCAATTGAAAAATGCAAACGACAGAGGTTTGGGTGAAGAGTTCTGTTTCAGTTTTACATATTTGCATACAGAGTTACATAGGCTGAAAAGAGACGTGTCCATCAAGTTCTGCATTTCTCATATCTGTTTTTTGCTGTTGATCCAAAAAAAAAAAAAAAAAAGACAAAAAAACCTAGATTGAAGCACTTCCAATTTTGCAACAAACTAGGAAAAAAATCTTTTTGACCCCAGTCTGCAGCTCAATCCCGGCGGAGCTGCAGACTGAGCCTGTATCTCCATCAGGGCAAGCCGCCGGGCCCCCTCCTGTGTCGGGCATGTTAGTCTGCCCTAAGGCAGTGCAGCATGGAGGTGTGATTAGAGTGTGCCCAGGCACACCCGGCACACCCCGTGCGCACGCCTTGGTATACAGACAGTGTCTATTTTCTTGGATCAAGAAACTATTACCCCATAAATTGAAAATGTATCCCAATCCAGTGGCGTACACGACCCATGGGGCCCCGGTGCGAAAATTGATCCGTGGGCCCCCCCGCGCTTACTCTGCGCGGGCCGGGGCAGCAACACATGGCGGCAGGCACCTGGTCGCAGGGGTTGCAGGGCTGCGACCCCTGCGACCACGGTATGTACGCCAGTGCATGCAGATGCACACACACTTAAAGGACCACAACAGACACCCAGATCACATCAACTGAATGAAGTGGTCTGGGTGCCAGGTCCCTCTAGTTTTTACCCTGCAGCTGAAAACATAGCAGTTTCAGAGAAACTGCTATGTTTCACAGAGGTATAATCCAGCCTCTAGTGGCTGTCTCATTGACAGCCGCTAGAGGAGCTTCCGCGATTCTAAGACACTGAACGTCCATAGGAAAGCATTGAGTAATGCTTTCCTATGGGCGGATTGAATGCGCGCGCGGCTCTTGCGGCTCGGAGCTGAGAGGCGGAGGGATCCCCAGCGCCAGGGGAGTCCGGCGCTGGAGAAAGGTAAGTGCTGAAGATACACACACACACACACACAGACACTCTCATGAACGGACGCATACACACTAGCTAACAGACACATACATTTACTGACAGAGACACACTCAGCGACAGACATACATACACACTTACTTACAAAACATACACTCTCACTGACAAACACACACTCACTAACAGACATCAAACAGACACACAAACACACTCAGTAACACACTCACTGACACACTCAGTAACACACTCAATAACAGACACACTCACTGACACACACACAAACACTAACACACACACACACACACTTTTTTTTTTTAAATTTAGTCCCCCCAGCCTCCTTACCTGTGGGAGTGCTGAGGGGATTCCCTGGGGTCCAGTGGTATCACTGGGCAGGCGGGCGGTCAGGCTGTCTGGGTTGCTGGCACGAGAGGGAGCACTTTCCCTGGCTTAGTGCTTCCTCTTCAGCTCCCTTGCGCGCTGGCCACCCAGACAGCCCGCCAGCCCGCCCACCTGGTGATACCACGGCCAGCCTCATGGGGGGGGGGCCCTTAGGTGGCCAGCTCCTGGCCCCCCATGGAGAAGAGCTGGCCACAGTGGGTGCATACCGTGTCGCAGGGCGGCCGGGCCCCCTGGTGGGCCGGGCCCGGTCGCAGCCGCAACCCCTGCGACCCCGGTATGTACGCCACTGTCCCAATCTCTGAATTATGCTTTAAACGCTTTGATAAAACCACTTCTTCAGGCAAATAATTCTACATCTTTATTGTTCTTTAAATTCTTATTTTTTTTTCCTTTGTCGTAGACTAAATCATCTCTCTTCCAGTCTGAACACGTGACCTTGTGTCCTATGTACAGTCCTGTTTATGACTAGATTTCCACATAGTGGTTTGTATTGGCCCCATAAATATTTGCATAATGCTTTCATATCCCCTCTGAGGTGCCATTTTTCTAAACTAAAGAGATTTAAATTTGTTAAACAGTCTTCAGAAATAAAATGCTCCATTCCTTTTATTAATTTTGTAGCCCGCCTCTGCACTTTTTCTAGTGCCATAATATCCTTCTTCAGAACAGGTGCCCAAATTTGCACAGCATTTTCAAGGTCTTACCAGTGATTTATAAAGAGGCAAAATTTTCATCTCGAGAACCAATGCCCCCTTTCATGCATGACAAAACCTTACTGGCCTTAGCAACTGCAGATTGACATTGCACATTGTTGCCTAGTTTGTTGTCTATAACAAATCCCAAATCCTTCTTGTGTGTTGTTATCCCTCCCTAATTGACTACCAATTAGGGTGTAAGTTGGTTGTGCATTCTTTACCCCGAAGTACATAACTTTGCATTTCTCTACATTAAATTTCATCTGCCATTTTAGTGCCCAGTCCCCCAATCTATCTAAATCCCTCTGCAACAAAATAATATCTTGCTCACATTGTATTACTTTACAGAGTTTTGTGTCATCTGCAAACACTGAAACATGACTTTCAATGCCTATTTCAAGATCATAATCATAAATATGTTAAATAGAAGCTGTCCCAGAACAGAACCCTAAGGGACACTACCCAAGAACAAGAATTTTCATCTAGACTAATTTCTTTTAGTTTGACCACTAACCTATTGTGTGGGACCATATCAAATGCCTTGGCAAAATCCAAGAAGACCACATCCACTGCAAAATCCTGATGTATACTTCTACTTATTTCTAGTCCGGCTGGCCCCCTCTTGCCTTTCTAAATATTGTAAAATCTTACTTTTATTGAAGTCTGTAGCTTATGGCTCTGCCCCTGACCTGCCCCTGTCTGCTGACATCTTTAGAAGTGGTGGTCTGAGCCAATCACAATGCTTCCCCATAGGATTGACTGAGCTTGTCAAGGAGGCAGATTAGGGGCAGAGTCAGCACAAGTCAAACACAGACTTAGCCAATCAGCATCTCCTCATAGAGATTGAGTCAATGAATCTCTATGAGGAAAGTTTAGTGTCTGCATGCAGAGAAAGGAGACACTGAAGGCAGTGATGCTCACTGTGCAACAATGCCCCAGGAAGTACTTCTAGGTGTTATCTGAGGAGTGGCCAGTGGAGTAGTTATCACCAGACTGTAATGTAAACACCGCATTTTCTCTGAAAATATAGTGTTTACAGCAAAAAGCCTGAAGAGAATGATTCTACTCACAGAACAAATACAATAAGCTGTAGTTGCTCTTGTGACTGACTATAGTGTCCATTTAATTTTAGTTTTCAAATTTCACAAACATATACACTTTAATGAGTGATCGCTTTAGCTCTTTCTGGCATTGATTTTACAGGTTGGTGCTGAATTTTACAAACTAGTTATTTTTAGAGCATTTTAGAGAGTGTTCAGAAATGTCACAGTGTGTTTTTTCATTTCTCTTTTCATATGTTCCGAAAATGTTTAACGGGATTGATGTCCGATGACTGTGG